GCCGTCGAGTCGCGTTTGACTATGATCACCACTACAAGATGAGCGCGTACCAGAAAATCAGAAGGAGATTGTAACCAGATTTATTCGTTGGCGATCTCGTGGTATTGAAAGTATACCAAGATCGTGCCAAAGGAAATACAAGTGGAATCAATGGGTGAACGTGCGAGCGTACAAGGTCACAGTTAACGGAAGAATAATGGAGGAGTAATGGATGTCTTTAGTACAGTTAAACAAACAAGCACAGTAAAACAATCACTGGTACAATTGGTTATAATAATGATTGTTTCCATTAAACCAATCGTGTTCTCTTGATAAAAGCAGGTCAATACACAATGGATCTGAGTTATTATTATTTCCTGACCAGAAATAACTAATGATTAACCAAGCTTTATAGACTTTCGTTTCTATGAAATTTGGAAATATCTGTTATAAACAAAGAAAAATATTTAATGGCTGTTATTTTGTTTGAAGACACTTGAACAGTATATATCCATGACTGAACCTGAAACGTCTATGTTTCTCAACAAATATAATATATTGTAATCCACTTTTTCGCTTTCCCAACTGCCGTCTATTCATATTTTAAGTACCAGCTCAGAACACACGTGCAACCAGTTCTGGTACATATATACTATCAGTTATAAACATAACTAGGAAACCAGATCACTGTGATGTAGAAAAAAAAGGCATACAATACAAAAACATCATACAATTCACCGCCATTTAACAGTACCAATTAACGACATTCATACTATAAATAAAAATAATATATTTGTAATATCCCAATGAGTAGAAAATCCAATTTTCTACTCATTGGGATATTACAAATATATTATTTTTATTTATAACAATCAACCCAATGCTCAATTTATTCGAAATTATCAAATCAAACCTTGGTAATGACACCGACATTCATACTGTTAGGATATTCAGAAAAATATCTCAAAAATTATTCTGTTAAGTCTAGTGCTATTCTTGGACTTGAAATGGTATCATTTTCCTGTTGGCCAAATATTGTACAAATGTTATTTTCTATTTTATGGTATGATTTGGTCTGCTTGGTTGATAGATGAAATAGATTATTCATATCGCAGAGATTGAGCCTTGTGTTCTGGACTTAACTGGCTGGGCTAGGTGGAAAGCAGAGCCAATCAGAAATCTAGGCTGCTCATACGGGTTTACGCGTTTTTGATCCGATTGATAAGTCACTGCTCTTTAATCGGCGGTCACAAGTTATATTACATACCAATTACTGTATTAGGAAAACCATATTAAAAATAACAAAATACCACTAACTAATGATAAACCATCGTTTAAGCATAGAATTTGTAACTTGAAAATATTGTTTAATTCATATAGACAAAAAAAAGGTAACATTGGATGATTTACAGATTCCGCCCAAGAGAAGTTTATATTCTGACTTATGTCCTTAAAATTTGTAAAGAGAAAATATTCACTCTTGTTAAATAACAAATCATAACAGCATTCATTTTGTTAACCGATGTAGTCAAGTGACTTTGTAAATGTATTTGACATTTGAAAACAAATTCAGAATATGAATAGTGAATTTTAAAGTTATCCACACCATTTGAATTATCATATTGTTACTATTAAAAGAAGATTTCTAAGGATTATATCATAGTATATTTATTCCCATATATATATATATGACATTGTTTCAATGCATACTATACAGGTTGAAAGGTAGAACAACAACAGCTTAAAATTTCATGTAGTTAGTTCCCTTTATGAATTTTAATAAAGCCAGAACAAATATTGATACCGAATAATATGAGTTCATTATATTTTGTGGTTTCTCATCAGCTACTTACAACCAAATATGTATTAAAATTTTACATTGAGGTAAGACATAATATGGAAAAATTGACATAAGTGAATGTAAAGGATTGGAATGACAAAGGTTATCAATGATATTGTGGGACTCCTCAGCAGTGCTCGCGAAACCAGTAGGTCCTGGGTTCGAATCTCGCAGGGGGCGAAGTCGTGGATGCACACTGCTGAGGAGTCCTACAGTAGGACGAAACGGCCGTCCAGTGCTTCCAGGTTTTCTATGGTTGTCTAGCTTCAACTGACTCATGATGTTAACCGTTGAAATTACTATATATATATAAATATATATATATATATATATATATATATATATATATAACTTACTTACTTACTTACGTCTGTTACTCCGAATGGATCATAGGCCGACAACCAGCATTCTCCAACCCACTCTGTCCTGGGCCTTCTTTTCTAGTTCTATCTAATTCTTGTTCATTCTTCTCATGTCTATCTCCATTTCTCGGCTCGATGTGTTCTTTGGTCCTCTTCTACTCCTCTTTTGGCCTTGAGGATTCCATGTGAAGGCTTGTCTTGTGACGCAGTTGGGTGCTTTCCTCAATGTGTCTCCTATCCACTTTCAGCGCTTCTTCCTAATTTCTTCCTTCGGTGGCATCTGGTTTGTTCTCTCTCACAGTACGTTGTTGCTAATAGTGTCCGGCCAATAGATCTGAAGTATTTTGCGTAGACAACTGTTAATAAACACCTGTATTTTCTGGATGATGGCTTTCGTAGTTCTCCAGGTTTCTGCCCCATACAGTAGAACTGTCTTGACATTTGTATTGAAAATTCTGACTTAGCTTGTTGACAGTTGCTTTGAGTTCCAGATAATCTTCAGTGGAAAATGTGCTTCTCCTGCTTTACCGATCTGCGCTTTCACATCTGCATCAGACCCGCCATGTTCATCAATGATGCTGCCCAAATATGTAAAGGTTTTTACATCTTTCAAATCTTCCCCGTCATTTGTGACTGAGACTCCTCCTGGAGTCCCTCCGGGGGCTACTGCCGGTCCCAAGCCCAGATAAACGAGGAGGGTTGGGCATGGGGTTAGTGACCCCATCCCGTAGAAAACTAGCTAGCTAAAAAAACGTTAACCAGAAAAAAATTATATATATATATATGATTTATTTTTACTTTGCTTATTTAAAAAGGAATAACATACCCTATACTAGACTGTTGATCAATCAACAAAATATGATTGAAACTAAAGACTAAGCAACCAAATGATTAGTTCCCATTCAGCTCTCAAAGAAAGTGAAAATATTTCAATAAAACTGGTTACTAACTAATAATTGAATCTAGAATGAGCATTTTAGGACTCATCATTTGAATGTGCATTATTCGCAGATTTATTAATGCTCATCCCTAAACTCAAAACCATATAATTCAAACAAACAAACAAAAAAATGGATCTATTATAGTTCTTCACAGTAACAACAAGAAGATTAAAAATCCTTATTAAATAGCGTGACAGCTTACTTATAATAGAATTGCTAGTCATAAAACTTTTATTCTTTTATTCATTTCACTTAAACAACTTGAAACTGTTGTCCTAATTATATTTCTAAAAAAGATGAATAATTTCACATTACTACATCCATAATGATATAAACTATAGAATATACTACTCAGAATCAGGTATACACTTCCTTAGTCATTTTCTATAAGCCTATTTTTCTTAATTAGATATAATTAATAAACGATATATGAATCAGTGGTTGCTTCCAAAAATAAAGAAAAAAAATTTAAACTCGTTTTTTTTAGAAAGAAAAAAGGAAAGAAAAAAAGAAAAGAGAAAAAGGAAAAAGATAAATTAAGATGATTAAACCCATTAAATTAGTAGTATTTATTCTATCATAGAAGAAATGTCAATTAATTTATCATAATTCAAGTATCATTTAACTGAAGTATTTTATAAAGCTCACTTGAATGTTATTTGGAACGAAAATAAGAATAAAGATATAGTTCACCAATTATTCAACATTTTTGTTAATGAATTTAATTATCATGAATAGTGGTAATAGAGGTAGTAGTAGTAGTAGTAGTAGTAGTAGTAGTAGTAGTAGAATTTAAAATTAATAACATTAGATAGCATTACCCTTAATTCCATTCTCTTTTTTAATATATATATATATATATATATATAAATTCTGTGACAGTCAGTCATAAACATCGGAGAACTCAGCATAAATTTCCATCATCATTAATTTCACAATTTATCGATGAACAAAGAGGATCTGATGCAGACGTAAAGGTGAGGATTGGCAAAACAAACGCTACACTGCTACGAATGAAGTACATATAGAACTAAAAAATGTCAACTAATATCAAAGTCGAAATCTTCAATACAAAAGTCAAGAAAGTTCTATTGCATGAAGCTGAAAAATATAGAACTACCACAAACATCATCAAAAATATACAAGTATTTCTAAACAATTGTGTACATAGGATATTCAATATCTGTTGGCCAGATATTGTTGGGGAAGATAGATCCCCAAAAATCACCTGATAGATGCCTTACTTTTGCAATTTTATTTTAAAGATTTGAATTCCTTGTTTTCGCGCCAGAACATCCATTTTGACCTTCATGTTGTATTTCCTACTTGGGAGGATCTTAAACGCTATTTGTTCGTTGTATCTTTTACTATGCTATCTTATTGTTGTTCTTGTTTCTGCTTACTTGTGGAATATATTTTCCTTTTCCGAACTAGGACATCTCTTTTTAGTTAGCGCGGCTGAGACACGTTGGGATAGCTAGCTTATTGGTCATTGTGTCACAGAGTCTTCTTTCCATTCTCAGATTAAGTGGATTCGTAATCTCGTCAAAGACAGCAGATACCATCATCAACAATCGACTGTGAGAGAGAATAAGCGAGCTTCCATCTGAAGAGAAAATTAGGAAAAGACACTAGGAGTGGATAGGACATACATTAACGAAATCACCAAACTCCATCACGAGTCAAGCCCTAACTCGGCACCCTAAAGGGAAACGGAAAAAAGGAAAAATAAAGAACGCACTGCGTCGGGAGTCGGAATCAGACATGAAAAGGATGAATAGCAATTGAAGAAAACTGGAAATTGTTGCCCAGGACAGAGTTGGATTGAGAATGCTGGTGGGCTACTCATGTTCCTTCACAAGGGGTAACAGGTGTAATTTAGTAAATAACATTAGAGAAAAATTCAAAAGATGGTAGTGAATAATTATTAGAAAATATAAAAACGGATGCACTAACGCCGATTTGACCATTTTTCATATCATCATCATCATCATCATCATCATCATCATCATCATCATCATCATCATCATCATCATCATCATCATCATCATCATCATCATCCCTACTCAGTTCAGTCTTTAGACCGTGATCCAAACATTGCATATATTTTGTTTACTTTTCTCAGTTGATTGATTAGTCGATGGTGATCAATGTCATGTGTGTCAGGTCCTTCTTAGTGCAGATCAAAATTTATCGACTAAGTTGCAATACATCTCAGTCCTATAGAAGGTCAGTCGCGACCCAATGGTATCATCTGTGATTGTGAAGGTAGGTGACACGGGATCAAATCTATAACGGAGCATCGGTTCCTTCAAGAGTACAGGTACACCTTACTGAGGTACCTCACTTTCATAATGTTTGAAATAATAGATATAATTGTTAAAGTTAGAACTATTATTATTTTCAATAAACATATTACTGCTTATAATTATAAGAAAATTGTGATTTTTATACCGTATACTTTTAATGATGAATTTTTCGAAGGTGAAATGTTATATTGTGCAGATAAACTGATGATATAAATTTTAGAATATTATATACACACTACCAACTAGTTTCAGTATAATCTTCTTTAGATTCTAACGGGAAGCCAATAGTCGAAGTAGTTAAAAATATATATACAATAATTCATTAATGACATTTTATGAAGAACACATTGTTTAACTCTGAGATGCAGGTACATCCAGATGACGAGTCCCAAATAGGACGAAACGCGCTAGCCACTATCCATCATTGCTTACAAATAGCTTGTGAATTAAGGCAATATCGAGGCATACGCACAGTATGCACATATGCCAATAACAGACTGATCAATTGCAGTCTTGAACCTCAATGGGAAGATACAAGCCAAACAATACCAAGTGAAACTGAATAAAGTTGAAAATATAAACAAATGGATATCGATTCTTTAACTGAATATTATCAGGTTTGCTGTTACAAATGAAATTCCTATAATAACATCATAAGTCTCAATTGCTGTAGAAATAGGACTAAATTAAAAATGTTCATTATTTATTAGTTTTCAATCATTCTATAGAGTGTGGATGCGCACTATTGAATCGGCATCCAACGGTGTTAATGTCTAACTTCAACTAATCCACAAAATTTAGCCATACATCCACCAGTGTCATCAGTGTGTTCCTATCTCACAACTGACCCGGTTGAACTCCACTGGTCACTGCTAATCACTAGAACTCTAGGATATACATCTTGAAGCCAGTCATTAGTGAGCATATGTTGATTAGTATCTGAAGGGGTTTTATAGAGATTGTAATAATTTCAATAGTTGAGTCCCAAAATAGGATGAAACGGCCATCCAGTACTTTCTGATTTTTCATGATAGTCTAGCTTCAATTGACTCATGAACGTAACTATTAAATAATTATAATATCCAGAACAAACCCCTTTCTGATAATAATTCTATAAATGTTGGCAGTCAATTCACAAAACTTAAAACCTGTTTCTTGATTATACACGTTTTATTTCTATTCTAATACATTCTAGTCAGTCATAATTATTCCTATTCATTCTTAAATACATGGATACAAATAAAGATTATGTTGATATGATTACACTTTAAAATATACTAATTTAGTTATATCATTCAATATAATAAAAAGATAATTTCAGTCCAAATTACCACTTGAAGATAAATTGACATGAGTATTTTTTTAAAACCAGAAATACAGTCTACATGAATATGCATAACATCTATACAATTTATGAGTGCTTTTATTCATTATTACAAAATAATTGAATTGTAAGTGTTATATATATGTATATATTAACAAGTACATACTTAAATTACCCACTCTATATCATTTCTAGGTGAAAACATTTACAAAAATTATTGTATAGAACTGTTTAAACACGTTATATGTATATATCTTGAAATCTGATGAAGCAAATACAAAAGAAATCTATTATGACAACGTTGTTGACTGGCTCACTACTTTAGTAACCATATATCTGACTCCGATTAGATTGTATACTGATTGTCATTGAAATACACATGTTATCCATCCTCGTATATTTCATCGACTTCAGTCGTATTGATGAATAACGGAATTAAATAAATCGAATACGAGAATGGATGTTTGAATACGTATAGTTTGCACAATTATTGATCTGGACAGACAACCAGAGGGATGGAGCGAAGGAAGCGAAGAAAACAGTGTGAAGTGAAATGACGCACAGTGGAGAATGCGTGTGAGCCAACTCCATTTAATCAATCGTTAATCAATATTTATAGTCACATAAAAATAAGCTACAGGCATATGATGAGTAGGATAAGATGTACTCACACATAAGCTCATATGAAAACAATCAGGGTTGATAAGTGAATAATAATTAATAAGGTCGAAACATGACTCCGGAAGAATGAATATATTGGCCTGTCTAGAAGCTAGAATAATTGATATGGGCTTAACATAGCAACCGACACTACGGAGTCACAAATTCAAAACGTTACCGTGACTCGTAGATGTACTAACTAATCGTTTCAACAGTTCGAAGAAAAATTAAAGTGCTCATAAATCACATTTGTATGAACGAAGAATATTCTTTTCAATAATTTCTCATCAGACTATACTGTTCAACTACTTATTAAATCAAACCATAATAATTAACTTCACTTGATATTGTTTGCTTGCATCTTCCCATTGTTTTGAACTTCACCACATTTCACAAGCAGGTGGCTGATTGAACTCCGTAGTTTAATGGACAACGCGATGGCGTTTGATGCAAACGGTACTGGTTCCGAGTTCTAGAATGAATATCAACTCTGTGATGCAAGTACATCCAGCTGACAAGACCTAAATAGGATGAAACGTGCGTGCTGAATTTCACTACTAGCCACTATCCGTATTTGCTTATATAATAATTAACATTTCAATAAAGTAATCACTTAGTGACTTATTTGAATCACATCCAGCCTAATCCTTTTTAGACAATTTAACAACAATGTAAGCAATTATCAATAATAATATAAATCAAAGCTTAATAATATAAAGCTGTGTACTGGTACTATGATGCATGCTACTTATATTGATGTAAGTAGTATATGACGCGAGTTAAAAACGTAATGTCTGGCAGCAGAAGATGGGGGAAGATCAAGAAAGGAAGAGCGGGAACACAATGCAATGTCCTAACCACTAGACCACAGCGACCCGTGTTCTGTTCACTACAGTACATTAGGTGTTATATTTGAAGAAATGTTAAAAATTGAATCTATTTCTTGGAAAATAGTATTAATATTACCCTTTTATCCTATGTAGCACTATCTAAGTAAGTTATGTAACATAATAACTACTGATGATAAAATTATTTACTCAGAAAGATTATTACTGATTCATTCACAAACTACAAATGGAAACGTATTTCTGTTCGCTTATCTCGATCAATAGGGATATACATTTTCTAAAAAATTACTTATCCATGTTTTAAAACTTTAAGTAATGATTAAAGGGATAGACTTAATTCTACCTAATCTTAAAAGATAATGAGATAGAACCCATTTGAGGCGTTTTATTTTTAAGGTTAAATCTCTGTCTTAAACACAGTATCTAGTTTCTCACTAATAATTATTACAATATTCTTCATGTTAATAAATATTTCTAAAGAATAGATTATACTAGTTTTTAGTAGTATAAATAATTGAATAAAAATATTTGTATTGCATAAATGTTGAGGTCTTTCAGATGAAACTTGTTTATATCTTTGACAGATGAACAAATAAATGAAACATCTAGAGGCAGGATATTATTCTTTGCAGTAAACTTTATAATCATATTGAGTATCCTCACATGTAAAAGAGGATTGATAGATGGTGCTAGGTTTGAAGCTATCACGAGTTCACTTAATCTGCGGACGAGAACAAGACTCGGTGTCCAAAGACCAGTAAGCTAGCTACTGATGCGTCCCAGCCAGAATCGAGCGATAACAACAAACACAAATCAAAACGTATATATACAGTGCAAAACTGTCCTTTGGAAGATTTATCAAATAGCATACTAAAAGACGTAACAGACCAATAGCATTTAAGAGATTTCCCAGTGGGAAATACGACATGAAGGTGACAAGAGCGCCTTTGGCGCGAAAATAAAGAAATTCAAATTTTCAAAATAAAATTACAAACTTAGGTCCTTTCCCAAGTGAGTTCTGGGGATCTAACTTCCCCAACAGATAGTTAGTTAATTTACTTGATCTACATATTTAAACGTATCATGGTAAAATTGAATACATTACTAATGATGTATAATGTCTTTACAACTTATACACTTAACTCTGAAGAGTTACAGTTGCTCAGAGGTGTAACAGTCAACATGGGCTTGGAGAAAACATAAACAATTTACAATGACTTTAAAAGCTATTGCGTTCTGATAGCTCACTTTATTATTTTCTGAAGTTCACAAAGAAATCACTTCATGAACAAAAAACTATTCCACTTATGAAACTTAGTTTATTTTGTATCTTTAAACCATCGTTACTTTCAAGGAGTATTCTAGCAGGCTGTTTTAATTTATAATTGCTATCAGTTATCCATACTGTCTGGATACAAGATTATTACTACCGTAGTCAACGATACATTAATTTAACCAGAAATCTGATCCATTTCGCAAGCATATGACAGAATATTGACATCGGGAAATTCCTAGCGAGTAAACTTTTTGTTGGTAAAATATACACTGGCGGATGTTACTATTTATAGATCTATCTGCCAGGAAAGTCACTATAAAATGAATTTTAGGCAATGTTTCATATCCACCCTAACGACGAACTTCGTAGTATTTTAAAACAAGACCATAAACAGAAATCTGTTCACGAAGTTACAACATGTTTACATAATATGTATACATAACCTTCGATCATACATTTGCATCTTGCGGTATGGGCTGCAATCCGAACAGTCTTCTCGTCTGATCTTCAAAGGCTTTACCTATGCAGTACTTTTGATATGCTAAAATTCCTCTCCGTCTGACAACTATGACAGCTTCAAGTCTATGTCCAGCTATATGCTACTTACAAGCAATCTTGTGAGTAGTATGTGCCACAGCGGCTGTATCCGCGTATCACATAACTAATGAACAAAATAAAATTGTATA